TCCATACCGATAAGTAGATTAGGAAAGGAGGCGAAGTAGCAATCTATGTCAGGGATAATCTAAAGTGTGAAATAAATAAGAAAATCAAAACTGAGTGGAATACAGAAACAATTTGGATAGAATTAATCGATGGTAGGGAAAAATTCATCACAGGAGTAATATATAGACCTCCTAATCTTGATAGAGTTAATGAGCGACTTATTTGGGACGAAATGCGCAGGGCTTCCATACATAGCAAAGTCTGTATAGTAGGCGACTTTAACTTTAGCCAAATAGATTGGACTGACATTATGGGTAACTCAGAATCAGAGGATTTTCTTGAATCGATCCAGGACTGTTTCCTAAGCCAACATATAACAGAACCCACCCGGGGAAATAATATACTCGAATTAGTTCTGTCAAACAGAGAAAACCTCATTAGCAATGTGGAGGTAGGGAACGAACTTGCAAACAGCGATCACAAAGAAATTAGATTCCAGTTAAAATTTCAGGAAAGCCGTAAGGAAAATTCCACTAAAGTCCCAGATTTAGTATATATATATCAGAAGGGCAAACTTTGATAGTTTGAAGAGGCAGTTGAGAGAGGGGTATCACGTTTGGGGGTGAACTACATGATCTCACATGAGGTGACCTCACTCAATGTACCCACAGAGGGCGACCTCACCCTACCTGGAGACCTGACGATTGAGATTGACCTGATACCGAGATATGAGGTTGCCGAGTTCCACGACAATTTAAATAGTGAGTTACTTAATGCACAAAAGCAGAACATACCATACAAAAACTCACATCAAACAACAATGACCCTAAATTGATAAATAAATATTTCAAGAACATTATTGGACAAAGGAAGGCTATAGGTAGGAGAATCAATCGTGGTGAAGTTTATCTCCAAGATTACTATAAAGTATTGGCCGGAAGGGTTAAGACGGAGATAAGAAAAGCCAAGAGGAATAATGAGCAGAAGGTAGCAAGGGAGGCGAATTCAAACCCCAAGGGATTCTATCAAATGTATTAAACTAAAACACGAGAAAAGATTGGACCATTACAGTCAGATATCGATGAGCTAACTGATAACGACGGAGAAATGAGCATTAATCTGAATAAATATTTTTCAACAGTTTTCACTACCGAAAATTTAAACATGATACCCGAAGCTCCGACTCTATACAGAGATAGTGAAGAAAATAAAATAAGCGAGATAGAAGTGACTAGTAATGATGTTAGTAAGCAAATAGACAAACTAAAGCCTTACAAGTCACCAGGTCCCGATGAGATATTTGCCAGAGTATTAAAGGAATGCAGGAAGGAGCTAAGTATGCCCTTAGAAAAGTTGTTTAACATGTCCTTAAAAGCAGGTGTAGTACCAGAATCCTGGAGAATAGCGAATGTAATACCGCTTTTCAAGAAGGGAAATAGATCACTATCCTCTAACTATCGCCCAATCAGTCTAACATCAATTGTAGGCAAATTACTGGAAGCAATCATTTCAAACCTTATTCGAAATCACCTGGAGAAGCATAAGTTGATCATTGATTCCCAACATGGCTTTACAAGCAGGCGTTCATGTCTAACTAATCTATTAACATTCTTTTCATCAGTTTTCGAATCAGTGGACGAGGGGCACAATTATGATGTGGTATATCTCGACTTTAGCAAAGCATTCGACAGAGTCCCCCATGAAAGACTTATAAGAAAAGTGGAGGCTCATGGCATTAAAGGTGATATTATGAAATGGATTAGGGCGTGATAACTGGACAGAAAACAGCGAGTGAGCATTAACTGCACTAAATCCCTTTGGAGCAACGTCACAAGTGGAGTTCCGCAAGGCTCAGTACTTGGACCATTATTATTTATTATATACATAAACGACATAGATATCGGCGTAGACAGCAACATAAGTAAATTTGCTGATGACACTAAAATAGGACGTGTAATTAAATCTGACGAGGACTCTGCAAAACTACAGGAAGATCTAAAAAAAAATTTCGAATGGTCCGAAAAATGGCAGATGAAATTCAATGTGGACAAATGTAAAGTACTCAGTATAGGAGATGTAAACAGGGAAACCAGATACCAGATGAACAACGATGTTTTTGAGAAATCTGACTGCGAGAGAGATTTAGGAGTAATGATAAGTAGGAATCTTAAGCCAAGTAAACAATGTGTATTTGCTTGAAACAAAGCTAATAAAGTACTTGGGTTCATACAAAGGAATGTTAGTTACAAGACTAGCGAGGTCATCTTAAAACTATATCGTGCGCTTGTGAGACCTCACTTGGATTACGAAGTTTAATTCTGGTCACCGTATTACAGAATGGATATAGAATCCTTGGAGAGAATTCAGAGGAGAATGACAAGGCTAATCCCGGGCATTAGGAACCTTGAGTACAGAGACAGGTTAAGCATCTTAATTTGCACTCCCTCGAGAGAGGCAGAGTGAGGGGCGATATGATAGAGGTGTATAAATGGAAGTCGGGGCTAAAGAAAGGGGACATTACAAAGGTACTCAAACTATCCAACCAGCAGCGAACTCGTAACAATGGTTTTAAATGAGACAAATTTTGATTTAAGCACGAAATAAGTAAAGATAGGTTTGGAAATAGAGTAGTGGACGAGAGGAACAAGTTACCAAATATCATCATTAACTCGAATACGCTGTATAGCTTCAAACATAAGTTGGAGGGATATATGAGCAATAAGGGTTTGGGTGTAAATTGGACTGCCCAGTATGGGCCAATAGGCCCGCTGAAGTTTCCTCCATTCTCATGTTCTTATGTTCATCCTCAACAGCCATATTTGTGAGGTTATCGTTGTCAAGTCTCCAGGTAAAGTGAGGTCGCTCTCTGTGGGGAAATTGTGTGAGGTCACCTCACGTAAAATCTTGTAATCCATCCTATACCCCTTCTCTTAGCTGCTTTTTCAAACTATCAAAGTTTGCCCTTCTGAAATCTGGGATTTTAATTAACTTTTCCTTGCGATTGCCATTAAATTATAATTTAAATCTTACTTCTTTGTGATCGCTGTTACCTACTTCGTTCCCTATGTCGACATTACTAATGAGGTTTTCTCTGTTTGAAAGAGCTAAATTGAGTATATTATTACCCCGGGTGGGTTCTGCTATATGTTGACTTAGGAAACAGTCCTGAACTGTTACATGAAAATCCTTTGATTCAGAGTTATCAGTAAGTCGATTCAATCTATTTGACTAAAGTTAAAGTCGCCTACTATACAGACTTAGCTATGTCTGTATGTCCTGCGTATCTCATCCCAAATAAGTCGCTCGTTAACTCTATCAAGATTAGGAGGTCTATATATATTACTCTTATGATTAATTTTTCTCTACCATCTGTTAATTCTATCCAAATTGTTTTTGTATTCAGTTGAGTTTTTATTTTCTTATTTATTTCACACTTCAGCTTATCCCAGACATAGATTGCTACGCTGCCTCCTTTCCTAATCTACCTATCGGTATCGAATAATATGTAAATTGCAATTTGGTATTCGGCAGGTAACTCGATTTTTTCGGTACATACCAACGCCCTGATTTCATCCATTTTTTCTCATACTTCGACTGTTTGCGAAGTAGACATTTAAGTTAGACGTGATCTGAGTTTTCCCTTTGTTGCGTTTTGGTTTTAACTCCCTGCCTAATTTAGTTTTGTCATAAGAACATAAGAATGGAGGAAACTGTAGCGGGTCTATCGGCCCATACTAGGCAGCCCGTTTACACCCAACCCCTATCACTCATATATCCGTCCAACCTATATTTGAAGCTATCCTGCGTGTTTGAGCTAATGATGAAGTTCGGTAACTCGTTCCACTCATCCACTATTCTATATCCAAACCAGTGTTTACCTACCTTGCGCCTTAATCTAATTTTGTCTAATTTAAAACCATTGCTACGAGTTCGCTCCTGGTTGGATAGTTACTTCCATTTATACACCTCAATCATATCGCCCCTCACTCTAATTTTCTCGAGGAAGTGCAAATAAAGATGCTTTAATCTGCCTCTACTCAAGGTTCCTAATTCCCAGGATTAGTCTCGTCATTCTTCTCTGAATGCTTTCTGTAGTACGGTGACCAGAACTGAACAGCGTAATCCAAGTGAGGTCTCACAAGCGCATTAAATAATTTTAGCATAACCTCTCTAGTATTTTAACTAACACTCCTTTGTATGAACACAAGTGCATTGTTGTCTTGATTTAAGATTCCTTCTTATCCTTACTCCTAAATGGGCTGGCGCTGGTAGAGCGGTACCGCTCTTGCCTCGCATGCAAGATGTCACGATTCGATTCCCGGGCCAGCGGAAGTTGTTTGAAGACTCTCCTAGTCTCCCTGGCCCCTGTTCACCTAGCAGCAAAGTAGGTACCTGTTGTAAATCAAAAGTTGCGAATTCGTATTCAGGGACAAGTTGTTGAAGCTTCCAATAACTTGCTTAGACGTAAAAAACTATTGACTCTTCAGGTTTCTACGCCCTTGACTCTTAAGACTACTGCGCCCTTAACTCATCGGACATAAGGCAAGCATGAGCTTGGCATGCTTCCCTGTTGGGCACTGTGTGCGCTTCACCTTACACAAGGATATAGGGGGGTGCCCAATAAATAAAAAAATTACTCCTAAATCTTTCTCACAGTCGCATTTCTCTATAACAACATTGTTCAGCTGATATCTGGTTTCTCTGTTTGCATTTGTTAGACTTAGTACTTTACATTTGTCCACATTAAATTCCAATTGCAATTACCAGACCAAGCGATTTTTTTTTAGATCTTCCTGTAGTTTTGCGAAGTCCTCATTAGATTTAATTACATGCCTTATTTTAGTGTCGTCAGCAAATTTACTGACGTTTATACATATTATAATTAGTAATGGTCCAACTACTGAGTCTTGGGGTACTCCACTAGTGACGTTACCCGGATAGGATTTAGTGCCGTTAAAGCTTACTCGCCATTTCTTGTCCTGTAGCCCAACCTAATGAAATAGATGCTGCATCTACTTACAAGTCTGGTTGATTGTCCCCCCAGTTGATGTAGGTGCTATTGCCTCCACTAATCCAACGGAAGTTGCCTGCATGGCCCTGAAAAGGATCAAAGAATATATATATATATTTCATTTAGTCCATGTAGCAAGCGGACTTCAACATATAATCAACGACCTCACAAGCCAGGACTCGAACCCTCGACCTTATGCTTGTGACCAGGGATTGCTACCACTGTGCCACAAGGACACTAAAAGCAATCCTAGACTTTGTTATATTTCACACAAAGCCTGTTCATCGTGGGGATTGCCCGTGCCACTTATGTGGTCGGAGTAGCATTTTACCGAATCCAGCTTTGAAACACGAGGTTCCATATATATTTAATATAGTCTATATAGCAATCCCTGGTCACAAGCATAAGGTCGAGGGTTCGAGTCCTGGCTAGTGAGGCCGTTGATTTTTTATATATATATATATATATATATATATATATATATATATATATATATATATATATACAGTATTCAAGACATCTGAAGATGTCTGAATAAAGACGAAAGCTAAGGTACCCGTTGTTTCCATTTTCCCGTGATTTTATCAAGATTTATCTTATCCACGTTTTCATTGTGGATTTACATGAAATATATATATATATATATATATATATATATATATATATATATATATATATATATATATATATATATATATATATATATATATATATATATATATATATATATATATATATATATATATATATATATATATATATATATATATAATAGTAGGCCAACAAAACCCATAAAAGTGTTTCCTTGTATTATTAGTGAACATTTCTACTAAAATTACCCTCTAAATATAACTAATAGTTATATCTTACTAATATGATAAGGTATGGGATTATCTAGGAACAACCATGGATTAACTAGGAGTAATACTGGAACTGAATATATTTAACTTTTCATTCCGATTCGACTAATTCCTAATCAGTAAAAAGAAGGTGCATCATTTATAAACATGTACTGTGTAGAGGTAAGCATTTAAGATAAACTTTAATATCCCAATAATATTGATATAATTAGGCCACATATATTAAAATTATATGGAGTGATGTCATTGAATGTGTGGTAGGGAGAGGGGGGGGGGGATTACTAAATACCATTCACCAAACAAAGGGTGGATGTTCTTGCCACAGCAGTTCGCTTTGTCTAGACTCTAGGGTACCGGTGGTCCTGTGCGCTGCTATTAAGGATGACTCCTGAGAACTGTGGAAGGGCTTTAACAGTCTTTGTAGTTGATACTCTTTAAGGTAACAGTGCATTACTAAAAGGTGTGGGGTATGAGATCCATAAAACTGCAAGAAATTAGGCATTTAACTAAGTGATCGTGATACTAAATTATACCATCTTTGAATCTTGAACCAATGTTTTTTTTTTTTATATGCTCCATGGACCAATTTTATGGCTTATTATGCTCGTAATATCCATGCAGGGCTATTTAGTAATAATATTTATAAATTGTACAAATATCTACAAATATATCTTGAGGATCGATAAATTGTGTCGAATCAGATAAATGCCCAACAGACAAGAAAATAGTACACGATATTTGCTTGGTCAACGACTAACTCGCTCTCTGACTGCACCGGTTTCTTAGCACTATATGAAAGCAAAAGATATTTGCCTTCGTTACCTTGTACGCGTGTGATTGAAAATTGGCGTTAGGGGTAAATGTATGGTTGTCTCTGGTGGGTTTGTTGAATCAAATATTGTCCAGTCAACACGACTAAATTTGAAGCAGACACAAGGTTAAATTCTGCACTGCATTCATTCCCCGTTGACACTAGGTAGAGCCACTAGTTAACAGTTGAAGGTGTGATCTGAACTTCCAAGTATAGTCACAGTCTATAGCTATGTAATGTAGGATGTTAACTAAAAGTAACACTTATGAACCAGTTTGTAGTGTGTTCTAATGAGCTGAGTGTCATTGAAACTTGCACCAATAGGTAATTGCTTATAATTATATATATATATATATATATATATATATATATATATATATATATATATATATATATATATATATATATATATATATATATATATATAACCAGTGATAAGAATACTCAAGAAGTTATAAGGTAATACTGGTACAGTGAAACTACTGAACTACTGAACTGTGTTAGTAACTATTTTGAAGTGTGTGTTATCAGTGATAGTAACTACTCTGTGTTATGTTGACAGTGATAGTAACTATTCTGATGTGTGTTAACAGTGATAGTAACTACCTTGCATTGTGTTAACAGTGATAGTAACTACTCTAGGATGTGTTAGCAGTGATAGTAATTACGCTCGTGTATTAATAGTGGTAGTAACTACTCCGGCGTTGTGTTAATAGTGGTAGTAACTAATCTGGGATGTGTTAATAGTGGTAGTAACTACTCTGGGGTGTTTTAACAGCAATATTAACTACTCTGGCGTTGTGTTAATAGTGGTAGTAACTAATCTGGGATGTGTTAATAGTGGTAGTAACTACTCTGGGGTATTTAACAGCAATATTAACTACTCTAGCGTTGTGTTAATAGTGGTAGTAACTACTCTGAGGTGCTTTAATAGTGGTAGTAACTAATCTGGGGTGTTTTAATAGATGATAGTAACTAATATGTAGTGTGTTAAAGTGGTAGTAACTACTCAGGGGTGTGTAAGCAGGGATTATACCTACTCTAAGGAGTGTTAGCAGTAACAGTAGTAACAGTACTACTCCGGAGTGCGTTAATAGTGGTAGTAACAACTCTGACGTATGTAAGCAGTAAAAGTAGCAACTGTGGAGTGTTTTAGCAGTGAGAGTAACTGGGGAGTGTCAATGGTGGTAGTAACTACCCTGGGCCGTGTTACTGGTAGTTGTAACCACTCTGAGGTACGTTATCAGTGATATTAACTAATCTGGGGTGTGTTAATAGTGGTAGTAACTAATCCGGGGTGTGTTAATAGTGATATTAACTAGGCTGAGGTGTGTTATCAGTGATAGTACCTACTCTGACTTGTGTTAGCTGTCATAGTAACTAATGTTGGGTGTGTTAGCAATGATAGTAACTATTCTGGGGTGTGTTAGCAGTGATAGAAACTACCTTAGGGTGTGTTAGCAGTGATAGTAACTACCCCGGGGTGTGTTAGCAGTGATAGAAACTACTTTAGGGTCTGTTAGCAGTGATAGTAACTAATGTGTGGTGTGTTAGCAGGGAAAGTAACTACTCTGGGGTGTGTTACCAGTGATAGAAACTAATTTAGGGTGTGTCAGCAGTGATAGTAACTAATGTGGGGTGTGTTAATGGTGGTAGTAACTATTTTGGGCTGTGTTAATGATGGTAGTAACTACTCTGAGGTGCGTTATCAGAGATGTTAACTACTCTGGGGTGTGTTAGCAGTGATAGTAATTACTCTGGGGTGTCTTAGCGGTGATAGTAACTACTGTGGGGTGTGTTAGCAGTTTTTTTATTTTATTTTTTATTTTTTAGGCACTCCCCTACATCCTTGTGTAAGGTGAAGCGCAGAAGCGTTTACAGTGCCCAACAGGGAAGCATGCTAAGTTCATGCTTGACTTTATGTCTCATGAGTTAAGGGAGTAGAAGCCTGAAGAGTCAAGGGCATAGAAGCCTGAAGAGTCAATAGTTTATGTCATCAAGTTATTGGAAGCTCCAACAACTTGCCCCTGAATACGAATTCGCAACTTTTCGATTTACAACAGGTACCTACTTTACTGCTAGGTGAACAGGGACTAATGGGGGCTAGGAAGTATGTCCAAACAACTTCCACCGGCCCGGGAATCGAACCCGTGACATTTCGCTTGCGAAGGCAAGAGCGGTACCACTCTACCACCAGCACCCCATGTGTTAGCAGTGATAACAGCTACTGTGCGGTGTGTTAGCAGTGCTAATAACTACTCTGGGGTGTGTTAGCGGTGATAGTAACTGCTCTGGGGTGTGTTAGCAGTGATAGTTCCTACTCTAGAGTGTGTTAATAATGATAATAACTGTACTGACGTGTGTCAGCAGTGATAGTAACTGTTCTGGGGTGTGTTAACAGTTTAACAGTGATAATAAGTACTTTGGGGTGTGTTAGCAGGGATTGTAACTCCTCTGGGTGTAATAGCAGTAGTAGGATCATCATACCTCCTCAGTGAAACCAATCCACACATTGTCTTGGACGTCAAAAGCAAAGTCGGTGACCAGTTGCTGTTCCGTGATGCCCCAGACGGTGATTAGGTTTCCATTATCAATTTTACACTCCAGTTGCCCATCGTGCCACGATTTCTTTTGTGCTGATTTCTGTAATGACACAAAAATTATTAGTGAGCCAGCAACCAGCCAAAAAATTAATAAATCAGTTCGAGTAAGGTCTTTATAAGCCACAATAGGGCAGCGACCAGCCAAACATCGGTAGATCAGTGCAGGTAATGACAATATAAGTAACAGTGAGTAGTAAGATAACACTGTCATCCGCATACCGTTATCTTACTACTATGATTTTTTTCTTTTTCCATTTGTTTGATATTTCTTGTCGTGATGCAGTACAGTGTGAGAGCTGACCTTATAGTTTACCTTTTGACACGATATCTGCCTTATCCTCTAGCTCTACCTAATGCAGTACACTGGTCTGTCTTCTCGAAATTTATAGGGATTCTTTACATTCAACATTTCATTGGTAATGCAAGGAGATATCTTTGAAACATATATGATTTCTCTTATAACAAAATGGTTGTTAGTTATATTTACTACTTTTATAGACATGACATTTCTTGTTAAACTTTCAAACACATATGTTTTATTTGTGCACAAAGTCAAGTATTTAATCCAAGGTATCCATCACACACACACACACACACACGTAAAAAACTCAAATAAGGACATATCCTCATATTCACATACGGATTTCAACCTGGTTTCTGTTGCAACTGTTGTAACCTAGGCTATCTACGATCACCAGGTGCATGGTGTAAGCCTGTAAAGGAGGAAGGTAACAAAATAGAAATGATAATGAGAAAAGCAAGTATAAAAGGACGGTCAAAATTGAGTATTGTCATGGGTTGCGTTAGGCTTACCCACGCAACCAACTCCAAAGTTTGTTTTACTAGAGATAAGACGCCCGGCGAGGCATAACTGGGACATGTATTTCAATTAGTGTATGTTAGCCAGCCTTTGGGGGGGGGGGGCAGTGAAACAGTGTTGTGCTGTTCATCGCTTCACACCCAAAAACCTCATTTTTAAGTAGTATCCCCTGAGCCATGGCTTAGTTAAGAAGTCGTCTTGACTCTCTCCCTCCTGAAAGGGGGCGGGACACCACACCACACAGAGTCCTCCACCGCCACTCCGTCCTGTGAACCGTCGTCGACACGAGACTAAGTGTTAACCTAGGTTGCTATCCCCGTGGATATATCACGTGTGGATGCCTGGTTGCGACAAGAGCAATCCAGCCTGACCTATCAAACCAACAGTAAATGGTTAATTAATTCACGCTTACAGAGCTCTCCTGCACGACACCCGTCTACAGTGACCGTGATCGACACGAGACTAAGTGTGTTAACCTAGGTTTGTTATCCCCGTGGAAATATCACGTGTGGAAGCCTGGTTGCGACAAAAGCAATCCAGGCTGGTCTATTACACCTAAATGGTTAATTCAAGTCACGCTTACCAGTTCTCGTTGCCGCGACAACCGTCTACAGTGACTGTCAGTGACGCGAGACTATGTGTGGTAACCCAAGAGTACTTTTTGTTATTATGGCCGTGGAAAGAAGTTCTTGTGATGAAGCCTGGTTGTAACAAAAGCATTCCAGGCTGGCAGTAAATGTACCCCTTGAAGAATTAAGGCTCTGTTAGGTGATACCCATAGTAGAGTAATCACATGTGTCCCCAAGTTGAAATTCTCTTTTAGAAGATTAATTTTATTACAGAGTGAACGTGAGTGATTCATATATCCATGCAAATTGTAGATCATTGTATGGAAGCTTGACAAATAAATGTAAGTGCAATTATCTGCCCGTATCTGTGATCCTATATTATTATTACTCAAGGTAATGACTGATTGGTTATGACAAAGTAGAACCAATTACTGAGATAGATGTTGGAAATTAATGGAATTCATTAAATCATCATTTATCAAGTATAAATCATGGAATGTCGAGTGGCGGAGTGAACTTCTACGTAGATACACCATAATCTCCTGTAAGTAACCAGTGTGAAGGTATCGAACTCTACGGTAAGAAATAAGAAATACGACATTTTATTATCTGTATATAATATAATCCACTCCTACTACCACCGATAACACCCAAAACCATGACAAGTATTTACAGTCAAATCCGTGTTTCTGACTCAAAATTGCTTCGTCCTGGACCGTATGGTTAAAAGTTAGGAGCAAAATTCGGTGTCATAAAACGCATGGGTAAACGTAGGTTTTTTATAAAATAAGCAAGATAATTTCACTAAATATATCGCTTTACTTACATTCAACCATAAATAAATTAGTAATTCAAATATAACAATGTGAATACTTTCTGATTTAGCACTATCTTCTCTCGCTACCCAGCTCCACCTCCCAACGTACACTGCCTAACCCCCAACTTCGCTTAGTCTTAGCTAGTGTTGCCTGTCAGCCAGGGAAGTTATTTTAGTTCCTTTCAAATGTATCTGTTGCTACGCCATCTCCAGTTTTATTATATATTTAGGTATAGGATAGATAATTTACCAGAGTATTTTTTCAGAAAGTAGGTGTTGTATCCTTGCTTTAGTAACTTATCCACAAGTAACCTCAGTCTTTTATGAAAACCTTATATTTAGTGCGGAGTTTACGATAACACGTAAGCTGATATATGAAAACACCCTAACTTTGTATTATTCGGATGTATCTATATAAAAAACGGAAATTAACTCTGAAATCTGAAGTTCTTGCGTTTATTATATAATTTTGTCAAAATATTTCCATTTACTATTTCAATTTGGTTATCCAAAAATGAAGCATTTCTATTTGATTAATTTACTCTGCTTAATACAAGTTCACCGAGAAACACATTTTGCGGCTGTTGAAAAAATAACGCCATCGATATATATTAAACATTTGAGTCATATTTTGCCTGCACCATATATTGTTGGTGTGTTCTTCTGCATGTAATTTTACTTATAATAATGAAAGAACAAGTCGGCAAAATTCAGGCCAGGGTCTGTTCACGTGGATATACCAATATTCTGTTTCAAGATCAGATCCCCTCACTTAGAATAAGTTATTTATCAAGATTTTGACGCAAGTTGTGATTGACTTTTCATTACATTTTCGAGTTGGAAAAATATTTGTTAATGATAAATTCTAGAATTACTGTAAATATGGTGAGGAATATTCGTTTATATGGCATTCAACTCGCAAGTGCTAACTGAGTTTGCTTGTTTTTTGTGTCTCATTAATTTGTTTAGTAATTGCTAAGCTGCTAGCTATTTTAGTAACGCAAACGGAGGAGCAGATAATGTACCGTACTTGACTTTGATCGGGTTTTTTTATGAAATTTAAGAATCCAATAGATAAAGGAAGCGGTTTGACGTTCAATTGGAATTACAATGTTGACAGAGCTAAGAAAATTAATCTGGCGTTGTGTAATGTGGTGTTCACTTTCATCTCGACCAGTGGTTCTCAGAGTCCCAGGTCACATTCCTCCCCTTGCGATCCCAGATTTCCTCAATTCCTCCCCATTTTGAATTGTCATCTAGTAATATTTTCACCATCATACTTTCACAGTGGTAATTATTGAAACAATTTATGAAACTAAAATGCTTTATTAATTGCCATCAAATGAAAAAATAAATCCTTATTTCAATGGATCATAAGACTTCCATTTGATTTAATACTCACTTTGGCCTGCGTGCAGAGAAACTAAACTAGAAAACCGAGGAACAAATCCAGTTAGTTTTGCTAGAAGGTCACCACGCTCTCAAATGTTGAGACGTACTCGATTTTTAGTCAACATATCCGTAACAGCACTAACGGCACATTCAACCAAGTATGTTGTTGGGATGGTCAAAAGCACTTGCTGAGCCTCTGTAGCTATTTTTTTTTATATTTGGCAACAACTTGGGGATCCAGCCACATGAAGTGTTGTTTTGAAGCATGGATCGGTTTCATACTGTCATCATTTTGCATGTCCATTAGCTCGTCGATCTGATGAGACTCCATTTTAGCCAGGCAGTCATTATTTTCCCAGTTAAAGAGAAATGGCTGAGCAATCCAAGAAAGGAAGTTCATCTGCTTCAGATCAATGAATCTTTTCGCTCAGGTCATCATGGAGGTAGGAGAGGTGTTCTGAGATTATTTGTAAGACATTTTGTGATGGATCACATTTACTGAGATGTGGGAAGTGAGAGAGGTTATTTCCCAAGACCTGGGCCTTCAAAAAACCCAGTTTACTGATAAAACCAAACATTTTGGTTTTGCAATCCATGAGAGTCTTCTGTTCACCTTGCAGTTCCTTATTTAATGCATTTAATTTACCAAAAATATCAGCAAGATATGAAATCAAGGCCTTGGCTTCATTGGATTTCATGAACTGGAAGTCCTCACGATCTCTACCAAAGTCCAACAAAGTATCATACAGGGCAATAAATCTTTCCAGACATTGCCTTTTGATAGCCATAGTACATGGGTATGGAGGAGCAGTCTCACATAATTTTCACTAATGTCCTTACAGAATTCTTTGAACAGCCTTCAGTCTTTCGATGTGCTTTTATCAGATTTACCACTTTTATTACCATCTTCATTAATTCATCCAACGTAGGACTAAGCCTAGCAGCCGCCAAACTCCCTCTGTGAATAATACAGTGAACAGTCATCATATCAGGATTATCATCTTTCAGAAGTTTCAGTACTCCCTTATGTCGTCCCATCATTGTTGGTGCACCATCCGCAGCAGTGGACACAATGTTACTTATTGGAATATCGTTGTCTGTCAGGTACTTCCTTACCACGTTATAGATATCTTGCGCAGTGGTGGTGGTTTTCAAAGACTCGCAAAATAGCATCTCTTCCATGAATTTTGAATTGTGCTGGAACCTTGCATAGGCAAGAAGAAGGGCTTCACTGTCATGGACTGTTGTTTCGTCGAGTTCCTCCCCTGACTGAAATTCCTCCCCAATTCCTCCCCTGGGAGCCAAGTGCCTCCCGTTTGAGAATCCCAACGTAGGTGTTACTATTTTCACCAAATGTGTCAGTTTAAGCTGTTTTAAGATAAAAAAATTTACTGGTGGCAATCTTCGTTTCACTCTTTCCTGGTTAATTAAATTGGACAACA